CGAGAGGGCATTCTAAGTCGAAAAAGAAAAAGAAAAAAATGTTTAGGGTTAAAACTCGAAATGGTGCCCTAAATTGAAAAAAGAGAAAAATAACAAAAAAAGAAAAAAGAATAAGGTGGGTTTAAGATGAAAGCCCATAAAGGGCGTCTTGCAACCAATGATGGGTCCAAGTTGAAAACCCCAAAAGAGCAATTTGGATATTGATTCAATAAATCCAGACAATGGAAACATTCCGACATCTGAATCTTCTACAGACTCAACGAGTCAGAGAAAGGTTGTAATCTTCAGAACGTTGTCGCATTTTCGAAGATTCCTTGACAAAGGCTGCATTCAAGGTCACCTAACGGCTTATCAGTTCAACAGTGCCCACATTATCGAGATCTAAGACATTCATTCACACTTCATCATGTATTCATTTTCCAGAATGTTTGTCATGTATTATTTGTTCTTTTTCTCTTATGAATAAAGATAATTTTTTCTCTAAATCAATTTCTTTTAAGCATATTGGATTGAACTTAAACCTAATGGTTTATTTACTTCTACAAAGGATAATTGCATATTACTGTACAAAGATTCGTTGAAAAGTACAGGTACCCGAAAGAGGCTAATGCACATACTTGAGATGGTCGAGAAGCATTTCCCGAATCAAGAGAAAAATAAAACGTGCACGTCAAATTTGAACGTTGAAGAATTCAAGATCAAGAATCAGAACTTCAAGATTTTAAAAGCATGATTCCAGACAGGCAACCGTAAATCGAGATTTCTCTCCAGAGCCCAAAATAACACATTTCACATATGCATTATTAGGCATACCTAAGAGCATTGCATCTATAGCATTGCATGTATGCATAACTTTGCAAGTTTTAGCTAGAGTCAATTTCAACTTCGCAACGAAGGATATTAGACTCGAAGCGACGCAATTTGCTCGAGATTAGATTTCAACTTCACGACGAAGAATATCTAACTTGAAGCCAAACAATACTTGGATTTCAACTTCATGACGAAGGATATCCAATTCAAGACTCAACTTCACAACGAAGGGGTCATCCACGATTTCAACTTCATGACGAAGGATATCGTTCCAGCAACATTCATCTTTTAGATTTCAACTTCACGACGAAGGATATCCAATTCAAGACTCAATTTCACAACGAATGGGTCATCCACGATTTCAACTTCACAATGAAGGATATCGTGCCCACAAGCAGCAATGCAACTCTTGGATTTCAACTTCACGATGAAGGATATCCAATTCAAAGCCCAACTTCACAACGGAGGAGCTTTACCGTTTCATTCAGAGTCAATTTCAACTTCACGGCGAAGGATATTGGACTCGAAACAACAAAACTTACACAAGATTGGATTTCAACTACATGACAAAGGATATTCAATTCAAAGCTCAACTTCACGAAGAATGAGCTATCTAGAATTTTAACTTCACAACGAAGGGTATCGTACCCAAAAGATTGACCCAACTTCACGACAAAGGAGTCATCTGTAACACAGCAACACCAAAGTCTTCAATTCAAGTTTCAGCTCCACGACGAAGTATCTTGGGCTAGAAAACAATCCAGAGAGCTACTTGCAAAAACTTTGAGTTTAGTTTCAACTTCGCGACGAAGGATATCGTGCTCAGAATTTTCCAGTTCAACTCAACCTCACGACGAGGGAGTCATTTCATGAAACAATCCAGATTAATAAGCCAATCATAACTCTACGATAGAGGACATCTGATATGGACGAAATTTATGTCTTTTAATCTTTGCTCTATTTTTATTATACGATAATGAGCAAAGAGGGACAGCTGAAGATACTCTATTTCATCCCATTACGTATTATGGGTTATATTTATAATATTTAAAATATTGCAAATAAACATATATTATATATTTATTATTTACTTTATTACATTACATTTTACAAGCCCTAAAATCGGCAGCCCAACAGTGGTCCAACACTCAGCAACCTATTACACAAGACCTAAAGAGTGGGTAACCCAACAACAAACCCGCGACCCGTTTGAGCACCCAACAGTGGACCCGAACTGACTCGGTTTGAAACCCTAGAGCCAATTAGGGTTTTAGATTTTTCTTCTCAGCGCCGCATGCCTCCACAGTGTCGTTCCAGCCTCACAACCGCGTTCTCCTCCGGATTTCTCGGCATCAATGTCAACAAGCAACAAACATTAGACTTTTAGTCCGATTAGGAGACTAAAAATAGTGTTTTATTTTCCTATAAATAAATATAACATTTACAGACAATATTCACGATTATTACGAGAGAAAATACGTAGCAAATAGTAAGATCTAAGTACTCAAAGCTTGTAACATTCGAAAGCAGAAAGAAATAAAAAGATATATTTTACCTTGATTCGGTGTTTTAGCCTTTTGCATGTTGTTTTTCTCATCTTTTTTTTCGATTTTGCTTCGAGATGGCCGATGAAAAAATAGTAAGATCTAAGTACTCAAAGCTTGTAACATTCGAAAGCAGAAAGAAATAAGAAGGTATATTTTACCTTGATTCGGTGTTTTAGCCTTTTGCATGTTGCTTTTCTAATATTTTTTTTTTTGTTTTTTCTTCAAGATGGTCGATGAAAGGGGGCGTTTTCAAGATCCCCTTTCGTAGATCTAGCTCCCAAGGCTTATTTGTTTTAAAAAATATTTTTATATTTGAAATAAGTGCAAAGCGAGCTTTAAAAAAATAAACTTTTCGTATTTCGCCGCCAATGACCGGCGGCTAGCGAGGCGACGAGCCACCAGGTTCTGGAAACCACGGTGGCATTTCATCCTTCAGATGAACAAACGAAGAACAAAATAGAGAAAATGGTTTGGGGGCTTTTGATAGGAGTGTTTTAAAAATGAAATTTGTGTATGTTTTTTGAAATAAATACTAAACCCGTGGAGCCCCATCGACCCGGCCCGAGACACATGAAACCCGCGTGTTTTCCAATTAAAATGGGATAATCCTCGTTTAGTCCCCCATATTTTTAAATGCTTTAATTTGGCTCCCAAAAATCATATTAAAGTCCTGAAGTCCTTTTAAATTCACCTATGATTTTTTTCCTTTTCAATTTAATCCTTGTATTATTATTTTTATTATTTTATATTATTTATTATATATATATATATATTAATATCTTATTTATGCACCTAATTATTTTTATTTGGGTTTTTATTTAAGTATTATATTTTATAATTATATATATATAAATATATTTACTTTCTATATTTTTTATTATTTTTAGTTTTTTTATTTATTACTATTATATTATATTATTTTTATTTTATTTTTTAATCTTTTGTCTTTATTATTATTATTATTATTATATATTTTATTATTATTATACTACCTACACACACTTACCTAACTCCCACATTTGTCCTTATTCACCACAATTCCCCTCACTTTCGGTGAAGTGATGGGGTAATAATTTTTTTATATATTTATTATATATGTTTTTACTTTCATTTTTTTGTTTTATTCTTTTAATTTTATCTTATTTTTTATTTCTACTTTTATTTAGTTATTGTTTCTTTATCTTAACTTGTTTTTATCCGTTATTTATATTTATTTATTTCCTATTATTATTTTATTTTAATATTTTTTAAACGTTATTATATATATATATATTATTTTTATTTTATTTTAATCCTTGTATTTTTTATCTTTATATCTTATTATATATTTTATTATTTCTTTTTATTTTGTTTTCCTAATGTTTGTGTATATATGTATATATTCTTTTATTATTGTTTTTAATTATTTTATTAAATATTATAATATATATATATATATATATTATTATTATTAACTTTGAATTATCATCTCTAGAGGCCCTCTTTGTTTCTAACCAACATTTTTTTTCTCCCTCCATTTTCGATGAAGTGATGGAGTAATTTTTAATTTTTTATATATGTTTTTTATTTTGTTTTATTCTATTAATTCTATCTTATTTTCTATTTCTATTTTTATTTAGTTATTATTTTCTTTATCTTAACTTTGTTTTTATCTTCTTTATTTTATTTTCGTTTATTTTTTTACCTTTATCTTATTTATTTCATTTTTTATTTATTTTAATTTTTATTTTTTTCCTTTATTCATTTCCTTATATTTATTTTTTTATGTTTTTTACTTTCATTTTTTTCTTTAACTTATTTTATTTATTGCACTTGTTTTTAATTTTATTATTTTACTTCCTTTATTTTATTTGCATTACTTTTTCCTCTATTATGTTTCACGATTTTTTTAAGGGTACACTTTTAAAACCGATCGGAGGTAAGTAATTGAGATTATTATTTTATCTTTTTAATTTAAATTACAATTTTCTTATTTTAAGACAACTGGAAATTACGTAGTACCGAAAGGACAGTTCCAGGGTGCTAACCTTTCATTGATTGTAACCGACTTCCGAATCCGACATATTTCTGGTAAAACGCAGATCAGGTAAGATGATATCTGATCAACCAAAATTTTACGAAAAATAAATTATCGGTAGCGACTCCCAATATTTTATTTAAGTCGAATCTCAATTCCCCGCCCACCCGAAATACGGTACACAGTTACGTTTGAGAATCGAAGATTAATTTCATGCAAGTTGTGGCAATCAATATATTTTACTTGCCTTACACGCATATCCTACACTGGTTGGAAATAAAAATCAGATATTCTTATTAGCAAATTAATGAACTTATTTGTTTATCAAGTTGAATTAGAACCTCAGCATTGTATTAAATACCTCAAGTAGCAATAATCAAATACAGAGTTTTAAATTCAATTCAACTCATTTCCTAATTGAATCCAACTCCAACACGACACCATCATTTAGCAATCCCTTTTTTCTTTGTTTTGCTTAACAAGAACCAGTCCTCAAACCCAAATTATGCAATCCCAAGTTTCCTCTCAGAGGAAATCAAGGAATGGCAAACTAATGAAGCTGTGATCAAGTACACTTATTTTCTTAACCCCATGATCTAAATTTATTCATTTAAAATGAAACATTCTCGAGGAAAATAAACGAAATAGCTTCTCACTAAAAAGATTAATATTTTATGAATTGGAACAGCAGCATTGAAGCAGTAAATATCAAAAACAATCCTCCTCAATACAAACACTCGGTATCAAATGGCGCTACAGGCATTTGTCTGGGAGGGGAGATTAGGGAATCACTCGATGCAGTTTCATGTCTCGTGAGAACAAAGTGAAAATAATTAAAAAAAGAGTAGAATTTCATAATTTCACCTCTACTTTGCCTAAGGGTGAGAAGCAATGAACTCAACAGCATGATTGATTGAACTGATCTTGTCTGCATCATTATCAGGTATCTCAAACCCAAATTCTTCTTCCAGGGCCATCACAACCTCCACAATCCAAACTATCTAACCCGAGATCTTTTTGAAAATGCGCACTTGGGGTAACCTTCAAAATAGAAAAACTAAAAAGTATATAACACTTGAAAAGGCAAGATTTCACATGCAACCAAAAGCTATATCACTACAACTTCATTCTTTTGAAGTACTCGCGACTAAGCATATCTGGACATTGATATAAGGACAAGTATGACCCTCCAAGAAACCTTCAAATACATTAAAAACTAAGAAAAATATCATAATCATATCCAACACTTGCACCCAAATTCGAGCAATATAGACCAAATGAGATTACTATATTCAGCAAAGAAATGAGGAAAAAGAAAAAAAAAAACTGAGAATATAACAAGAGTTTGATGAGTCTTCTCCAGGTTCTTCACAAAGGGGCACAAGAAGCAGAAGACTATGAAGCACCACCATGGGTACGGGTGTTTAATACAGACATGCTTCAACACACCAAACATATGTAGGGGTATACAAGAACACGCATAAAATTAAAATTTTCCTGACATGGTCAAGACACGTTTGTCCACTGATGGGGTACAACAAAAAAGGCGGTGGCTCCATCACACACCTTCCTTCTTCCTGACCATGCAATAAACAGGAAAGAGGGTTGGGGAATAAGATGCAACTAGAAGGAATCATAACAGAAAGTCATGATAGACAAGGGAATGTGATGTCAGGATTTGAACAACTGAGAACAAAAGAAGGTTACAGACAAGAGAGCGGAGAAGAGGTTGGGGAAGGTGGTTGGATGTTGAAAGGGGAGACCCGTGTCATTTACCTCTCTTTTTCTCTTCTTTCAATTATTTACGAATAAGATAAAACTAAATAAAAAATAGAGACAATAAATATTGTAAATATAAATATAAATATATATATATATATATAATATTTAGTAAATGAAAAGTCTTTCATTTTGATAACAATTCAGTAGTCAATCATTTATACGATAAGAATATAATTTTTTGAAAAACAATTATCCTAATGAAAGAGAACAATATTTTCATTTACATTGAATACTTTTATATGAAAAAAATATAATTTTAAAATTCACATTTCAACGTGTCCGTGTTGGATCATTCTCATTCAAGCAAGTCGCCAAGAAGGTTATACTGATTTAATAGTTTTATAAATCATAATAACCCCAATATGTGGGAAGCTTGACTACATTAAGATAAGGGTTGACATCTTCCAAACCTACAAGTATCTTTACAAGTAGAAGAGCATTCAACAGCCAGTCATCTCATTTACAGTGATCCACTTTTGTGTTAAAAAACCTCTTCCCCTTGTAAAGGTAAAATCAAATTTCTTCTACAACTAGCATATAAGTGATCAAATGCGTATACAAGTCACCCTCGTTAGTACATCAATCACAGTCCAGACAACGGCACATCGCTACTATTACAAAAATTCAGACTAACAATGCAGCCAAAGCTAATTTATTATTCATTTTGATATCAAAACCACAATCAAAACCACATCCAGTCCATCGAACAAAAGGATCTATTTCCTATTCCTTCACTTCTGAATGAAATTGAATAACCTATCTGATTGTATTTGAAAATTAGAAAAGCAACATGATAGACCAGACAAAAATTTCCCAAAATATCGTGCGTGCATGGTTATAATTCATTTCATTTAATCAACAGATCTTGTGTCTAATTATCCACGAATTATATTATACACAAATAACATACGATCAAAAGAGTTCGAGTGAAGTAAATAAGAAAAGACCTTGGAAGGATCAACTTTCTGAAAGTTTTTGACGACGCAGAGGACGCGATCGGTAACCTCAGATTTGTCGAGGAAAGAGCCCATGACCTCGTCGGAGAAACCGCGCCTTATGGCGTTGAAGGTGAGAGCGAAGAGGCCGTTAGGGGTAGGATTTGGGTTACGGAGCAGTGACAAGGACGTTGCGTTCACCCTCAGGTGCTTAAGCAAAGCTCCTCTTACCGACGTATTTTCAGTAGATAGCCCTCTTCCCTTTCTCTTCTCTGCTGGAAACTCGGAATAAACCTTTTTTTTTTCGTTCTCAAAGCCCATAGTATGAGAAATGCAAACTTTTTTGGCTTTTGTGGCTTAGGGAACGAGTGGAAGAAAAATCAGCGACAAATACGACGTCGCATTTTCTTCTTTAGCGATTTAACGGGAAATGGGTTAGTTTCGTTAAACATCCCTGGATTATCACTAGTATTATAAACTGGTTCCTAAAAGCTCTAATAGAATCCTCAAACAATTAAAATTATATCAATGAGATTCTTCCATCAGCTTAGTAGTTTTTTTTAGAAAGCGAATAGTTTTAAGCTTAATACAAAAGTAATTGTTTGAATTATGTCTTGAAAAATATTTTAGTGTTTAAAGAATTTTTCGTTAAAATATGTGTGTAACGTTTTCTCGGTTATACTTTTAGGTGTCTACCGTTTATGTTTTAATTTAAATAATAATAAATTATTTTTAATTAAAAAAGAAAAAAGTTTAATTTGTTTATAAAAAACCCAAATTTTTGCTGAAATTAAAAAACTAAAATCTCTCATTTCAACCCCATCACCAACCATCGCCGGCCATCTCCGACCACCAGAGTCATTGCCGAGTGGTCACCCGATCAACCACCCATTGATCAATCATCGTCTTTATCGTTACCCAAAATCCCTATATCTAAAATCCACAACCACAATATTCAAAACCCTAATTCCCAATTTCAATTTCTTAGCCCAAACAGTTGTTGGCCATCTCTGGCCATCATTGTCGTCGTCGAATGGTTGGGTTTTGATCGGAATAGCACGATGGTTCGAATGGTGGTGGCGATGTGGCTTATGATGTCGGAATCAACCAAAATTGACGAAAAACAAAGACGGTGGCTTAAAATCCGACGAAACTTTGAACGCTCTCCATGACAAACGATAGCATATTACGACGAAATACCAATGGAGGTTTGATCGGGGGTCGACGCAAGTGATGATTAAGGTGGCGGTGACGGTCACCGTTGGCCGACCAACCACTTTTGGAAGGAGGAAAGGGGGAGAGCACACGACAGGTAGGGGTTGTTCTTTTTTTTTAAAAAAAATTTAATGTTTAAAAAAATGTCAAAATTAACAGACGTGAAATGTGTCACTTAACAGAGATATTTAATGGCGGTTAACTTCCGGACACCTAAAAATATACCGTTTGAAACATTAGACACTTATTTTTAGCAAAAATTCTTTAGGTACTAAAATATTTTTCGAGACATAGTTGGGACACTTATTTTTATATTAAGCCAAAGTTTTATTAAAAATAGAAAATATCCAGAATTACAATGAATATTTATCAGTATAACAGTAAACGTAAACTAAGTTATAATCCTAGGTTTTTTTCCTATAACCATTGACAAACGAACCACAAAATAGGAAATTAGATCACATAATGACCATAATAGGAAAATGTTAAAAAACATAACCAATGCTCGAACAAAATAAAGATACAAACAAATTTGTCTGCATTGACAAACGAACCACAAAAGGGTATAAAACTACTGAAAGACCATCGACAAATCGCAAATCAGAGTCAAGTGATGTGAGAAAACTATCCACGAGCGCAAACCACGTATCCAAATTAATCCGAGGGTCTAAAGCAAGGAAGATCAACATAATAATAAATAAGCGTCATCTTGATCAGTCATGGCGATGTCAAATCTAACCCAGAAAAAAAAAGATAAACGAAAACAACGGCTAAACGACCGATAACTACCAAAACGCAAAGAAAAACGTACTAAAAAGACAGAGATAAACTTGCCATAAAGACATAGATAAACTTGCCAATAAGACAAACTTATTCTTATTAAAAAAACTAAAAAAAATGAAAAAAGACAATCGGCGGTCGACAAACAGTATCAAAAATGATGTCACTGTCGGCTAAACAAAATTAAAGAAATAAAAATTGATTTGATTTATAGAAATTGACACAAATTGCAAAGAAAAATAAAGGAGAAGGAAAGAGGGAGGGAGAGAGCGACTAGGGTTTATACCGTATTTCCATCAGTTAGGTAGTTAATTAAGGTGTAAAGTATCAGTTAAAATTAACTTTAAAAGAAAAGCATCGGTTCCAATTTAACGATGAGTATATTTAAAATATGTTACTCAGATTATAAATGTGTGTTTTGTTATACGAAATTCTGATTTGATGTGTTTAACGAAACTTATTTAGATATTAAATATCAGTTTAAATTAAATTTAAAAGAAAAAGGTCATAATTCGACAATGAACATATTTAAAATATATTAACCAATTGTAGGAATATGTATTTTTTAATGAATCAAATTATTTTAATGGTTGAAGGAATGATTGTTATTCCTAGAGGTCTCATATTTGAACACTAACAATTGTAGCAAGAGTAATTGAACTTTCATTGTCAAATGATTAAAGAGTATATAAAATAGATATTACTTTGTAATCACTTTTAACTTAATCGAAAATAATGTGCTTCTTTTATATTTAAAAAAATCAATTATAAGAATGAGCGTCTTTTTATATGGAGTTTATATCTAATATGTTAAAAAAATATAACGCCAATAAAATTAAATAAGGATAAAATTTTACATGTCAAGTCTAAGTGTTTTTTTTATAGAAATAGAAGCATTTAGTTTTATTAAAAATATAAAATAATATAAAGTTGTAATAAATGTTTATAATCATAATAATAAACTAAACACATATCCTCCTATAGCCATTGAGATAAGAAACTAATTACTTGAGATTATACAAATAGCATACAATAAAAATGTGAAAAACTCGTACAAAAAAAACTCAAACAAAAGATACGAATAGATTACATCTACAAACGAACTACAACAGAATATAGCCACCAACATAATCGACAAACGAACTGTAACAAAACATCAAACTCCTGAAAATCCACCAACATACTCGTGGATAAAGTGGACGTTTGAATCTAATGGATTCAATATGCACATTTCGAGTATTCAGTTAAAGATGTTTTGATACTTGGAGCCAAATTCAAACATGAAACAGATTTTAAATACTTCAATTTTTCGAATTAAAATTGATCTTAATTTATTACTTCAAAATGAAATTCTGTCAAGGCAAATAAGAGAAATAGCACTTGTCGCCAAAATGGTACATTTTATGAGTCGGAACAGCAGCGTTGAAAGAGGTAAGTATAAAAAAACATCTATATCAGAGGCACTTGCTCAGGCAATGATATAAAGGGAATTACCCGAATGCAGTTTCAACTTTCATGTCTCATGCGATGAAAACAAAGAAAAAGAAATAATGGGATTTCACAATTTCCCCACTACTTTGCCTGAGGGTGAGAAGCAATGAACTCAACAGCATGATTGATCGTGCTGATCTTCTCTGCCTCATTATCAGGTATCTCGAACCCAAATTCTTCTTCAAGGGCCATCACAACTTCCACTGTGTCCAAACTATCTAACCCGAGATCCTTTTGAAAATGGGCATTCGGGATAACCTGCAAAATACAAAAAAACTAAACAGAATGAAACAACTATACAAGAATATCCATTCTCGAGCATGTTAAACCACTTGGAAGAAATTGATACCAGTATCCAACACTCACACTTGAGTCTTTGTAAATAGGTCAGAAGATCTCACTAGAAATTATAATCCTAACAACTTAATAAATGATACATTTTAGTCATTTCAAAACTGTTAAGAAAAATAAACGGAAGGAGAAAAGAAAAACACTAAGGATATGATATAGCAAGAGTTTTTTGTATGGCTCCAGTTTCCTCACAGAAAGACACATCAAGCAAAAGCTATGAAGCCAACATGCCGAAATATGTAGGGATATGCTGGGATACAGCAGGGGAAAGGAAAAAAAAATTTATACTGACATGGTCAAGACACATTTGAGTCTTACATTATTTTTATATTAATATATAATATTTTACTGTCATATCCTGCCTTAGTTCTTTACATTCCCGTGTCACCATGCCTGTGTTGAGTCATACAAGTACGGTGTGTCCATATCCATGCTAGTTCATGCAAAGATATGTTGAAATAATTTGACAAAATGATACAGTGCTTAATTAAGATAAGGTCTAGCATCTTATGAATCCACAAGTATCTTTCCAAGTAGTAGAATACCCAACAACCAAAGTCACCCGATTTACACTGGTCCGCTTGTATGTTATAAAAGCTTTCTTTCCAAGTAGATGTAAAATCAAACTTCTTTACAACTATAACTAGCATTTAAGTTGACCTCATGCTTATACAAGTCATCCTTGTTTGTACATCAATCATGAGCTAGACAACAAAAATATTACAAAAACTTAAACTGACAATGCAGCCAAAGCAAATTTACTATTTCAATTTGATCTCAAACCCACAACCAAAACCGGCAGATAGTGTGTCGTTCATCCAAGCACCCCAATTTATTATTAGCCACAGAAATCCACAAAATGAACCATGCAGAAATCAGCTATAAAGAGACTAAATCACTTGATAGATCAAACCACCAAACAGATTGTCTCACCCACAGTTTCTTATGCGCGGGTTTGTCAATTCAGAAAGTTCACATTGATTTTCCCTCTTAAAGACATAATTTGGAGGCATTGAACTAATGCTAGAACACGCTCAATCTTTATTAGTTCACAGCTATTATATCAAAGCAAAAAATGGGGAAATTTATATCCAAATAATTGAAAGATTGGTTTGATTTAAGAGAAATGCAATCCCTTTACTCCTGACCAGACCGATCATAAAGTGAACCGAGCAATCCAAAACCTAAACTCATATTTCCCAGTACCACAGATAGAATCAAATCACTGTTATTTTATTTTAAAGAAGAGCATGATAATACTTAAACAAAGCTATTGGATAATGAAAAGAAAGAGTGAACGAAATAAGTACCTTAACATAATTTATTTAATTTAATCAACAAAAGTAGTGCTCAATTTCCCCCAAACCACAAAACACACACACACATCTGCACCCAAAAGAACTCAAGGAAGAGGGAAAAAAAGTGAAGCGAAACACCTTGGAAGGGTCAACTTTCTGGAAGTTTTTGACGACGGAGACTACGCGATCGGTAACCTCAGACTTGTCGAGGAATGAGCCCATGACCACGTCAGAGAAACAGCGTACGGCGTTGAAGGTAAGGTTAAAGAGCCCATTGGGGAAAGTTTTAGGGTTGCGTAGTAGGGGCAGGGGAGTAGCGTTCACCCTCAGATGCTTTAACAGTGTTCCTCTCACGGCCGCCATTTCAATAGATGGTTTGTTTTCCTTCTTTCCACTGAGAAACGGAAACCTTTTGAAGCTTTGGAGTTCGGAAGCGGATAAATGTCAGAAATCAATGCCAAATACGTCGTCGTTCTTTTCCTTATTATTAAGATAAGCTATATCCATAACCACTTAACTATTGGGGTATTTTATTTTAAACATTGATATTTTAATTTTGTCAATCAGATCATTTAATTATTTAAATATTATCAATCAAGTAAAGATGTAAATAAGACGATAAATCATGAGCTACTCTACTTGGGTTCTACTTAATCAAAGTTCACTCAACACTTGAATCGAGTTCACTCGACTGTAATTCTTAACGAGTCGAAACAAACTATTTTGATACATGACTTCAAAACTTGCGAGCAACTCAGAAAAATATAAATATTAAAGTTTTAATTTTTAAATTGAAGTATAAAAAATATTTATATTTAGGCAAAAAGGCAATTGAGGTCCTTGAACTTTAAAAAAACAATATGGCCCTCATATTATTTTTTTGGATTAATGTTGCCCTCCAATTTAAAAAAAAAAAACTCAATATGACCGACTAACGTTTTCTATCATTGACAAATGATTCCTTTAATTCTTTTTGGGTAAATTACACCATTCATCATCAACTATTTTATTCTCTTCTATTTTGATCACTAAACTCTAAAAGTTTTCAATTTCAAAATCATGGAGATTCAGGGACTAAGACTGTAGTTAACCATTTTACCCCATTTCTCTAACTTCTACCATCTCCTCCTCACCGACTAAAACCGGAAAAAGAATAGAAACTTGTTTTATTATTTAAAAAATTATTTAAAAGGGTAAACTACTCCAAGAGTCACTAATGTTTGGGTAAGTTATTGTTTTTACCACTGATGTTTCAAAAGTTAAAAATTGATCACTAACGTTATCGTTTGTTACAAATCGACCACTCGTCGTTAACAGGCATGACGAAAAACACACGTGGACTGTTAACAGGCATGACGAAAAACACACGTGGACTGTTAACAGGCTTACCCGAATGGTATAATTACACAAATAGTCCATGTTATTAATATATTCTTTCAAATTGATCATAGTTTTAATAAATTAAAATAAATTTACCTACGAATCAAGAGGTGTCATGAGTCATTGGTTACACACCTGCCATGACACATGTTATCATTTGATTGGAAGAGTAAATTTATTTTATTTTATTTTTAATTTAATATATTTATTTTCTACTAATTATAGTGACACATGTCACCCTCTGGTTGGAAGAAAATAAAACAATAAAGAAGCAAGTGGGGATTTGAACATAGGACCCTTGAGTGAAATATTACAAGTCAAACCATTGAGCCAAGACAACCATTTTGGATAATAAATGGTATATATCTTATCTCTTAGTATGTAAATGTTTTACTCGAAATTAATAATATGTTATATATCTTAATTTTTAAAATTATCTCTTTATTTTTTTTAACGTATTAAATATGTTTATTTTTGTCTTTATTTATTAAATATATTTTATTTTTATTTTCATGTAAAAATATATATTTTAACTTTATCATCACTTAAAAATATATTTTTTAAAATATCTTAAATTGAAATATATTTTAATATTTTACTATTAAATTAATATAAAAATATATTACTTTTACATTTAGATTCTATAAGTGTTTAAAAGAATTATACAAAATTTCATAAAAAAATATTTTAAGAGAGATTAATTTGTTCAAGCTCAAAATTAAGAGGACCTAAATTTGTTTAAACCAAAATATTTAGTCACCAACAATAACTTTAATACTTTAAATTAAAATTTTAAACGTGTAGATAATAAAATATTGTTTTATAGTAAAAAAAGTTAAAATTAATTTTTAAAGATGATGCAAAGATTAGAAAATATACATAATAGAGATGCAAAATAATTATTGCAAACAAAAATATTTAATAATATTTAATAAGTTTTAAAAAATAAAGACATAATTTTAAAATTTAAGATATATAACATATTATTAATTTTGAGTAAAACATTTACATACTAAGATACAAGATATATACCATTTGTTGTCCAAAATATATCAAATGATTGCCTTGGCTCAATGGTTTGGCTTGCAATATTTCACTCAAGGGTCCTATGTTTGAATTCCCTCATTTGCTTCTTTGTTGCTTTATTTTCTTCCAACAAGAGGGTGACACGTGTCACAATCTGATTTGTGAAATATAAATATATTAAATTAAAATAAATTTAATCTTTCAATCAAATGATAACATGTGTCATGACAGGTGTGTAACCAATAACATATGACACCTCGTGATTCGTAGGTAAATTTATTTTAATTTCTTAAAACTAGGATCAAATTGAAAGAATATATAAATAACATAGACTATTTGTGTAATTATACCATCTAGGTAAGCATGTTAACATTCTACGTGTGTTTTTCGTCACGTCTGTTAATGGCGAGTGACCAATTTGTAACAAACGATAACTTTAGTGATCGATTTTAATTTTTAAAACATTAGTGATGAAAATGAAAACTTATCCAAACATTAGTGACCATTAGTATAATTTACCCTTAAAAAAAGATAGAACTTAGAAATCAAAGAACGGCGTTATCATCGAGCAACGACCTAACCTTCAAGCTTCATCTGCTGGTAATCGTAAACATATCGAATCACTACACTCGGGTCAAGTCCGACCCAATACATGTGCCATATGGGCCTTAGCCCAGGACATCAGTTTTGAGACCGGGGCATTAAAACTAGTTCTACAACTTCATTTCTCTGAGTCATAAGGATAGGCCTTGGACTATATATTAGTCTGTCTGCATTAACCATATGAAGGGTAATGTAATTAGGCCGATCCAATACATGTCTTCCTATATTAATCAGGGCCGCTGTAATCTGGTCTGCAAGAAGGGTACTATAATTGGGAGAAATAATTTTGATTAATATGAAACCAAACAAATTTAAGGACTCTAGAAGCCACCGAACTATGTCAAGGGACGCCAGCAACAATTGGCCTTTGGATCTGTATTGAACTGAATACCTTCATCGTCGACCGACCAAAGTTTAGGAAGCTCCACCCAAACTTGAACAAAAAGATTGGATCAAACTCAGATTTAAGGTGAAAAATTAATCTGATCTAACTCGAGATAATAGTATAATAATCTCTTAAATATTTAAATATAATTACAATCATACATCTCTCTAAATAGCACTTTCGTACTTTCATCCCAGTTAACTAAATACCTAATATGCTTCAACAAGATACAATTACCAATAATAAACATGTTTATTTTTCCCGCAAACTAAAGCTTGAAATGCTTGCAGATCTGTAGTCTTCTGCAGTGAAGTATAAAGGGACGTACGAAAACAGAAGTAAAAGGAAGTGGATTGAAGCAATAGCATTCGTAATGATTTTAACGTATATGAGATATCCACGACAGACGAGAAGCCGTATGAAGCATTTGTTGTTGTACAGAAGCTGACTCATTTCAAAAATGTTTCAATTGACTCATTCAATCAGAAACCCTCGAGCTGAATCAGATCATCAGATTACAAACACGGATTCGATGTATTCTAAGATATGAGCAGCAGCCAATTGAACATGAATCACTTTAGGGATGGGTATGAACCTTTCCTTTCCACCACTAAATCACATCGAGAAAATTTGGTCCAAGCATCAATTTCTCTGAGTTGTAGAACAAGTATAAGGGCATAAAATTATTATCACGACCAGAGCATTAAAACTCATTGGACTGACCCTGATTTGGGTCAAGTCCTAGATGAATCCTATGCTTGTCAACTGCACCTCTGCCTCCATCAACGACGTCGAACCCCAACTTCAAGCTTACCCACAATCCTTCCACCCATTCCCTCGGCCGCTCCTTCCTCGTCAACAAACAGGAGTTTTGTACGACTAACACTATATTTCATTATTTTTCCTTGATATTGTGTTATTGCTTAGACAACTTCATGAAATACCTTCTACTGGAAAATATCACCCATACGAGACGTTTGATTTACGGAATATAAGATTACCTTCGGGTATAATATTACTAAAATGTAATATGAGAATATTGTATTACTTGTTTGGTTTGTTTAGCATGAATGTTAGATTATAATGTGTAGTTGAAGGAATATAAGATTACTTGGATGTATATTTACCAAATTATCCTTGTAATATATATTTTTTAAAGTTAAACTTAATATTAATTATAAATATTTAAATTAAAATTCATAAAAAATATTTTAATCGTTATACTATCTAACTTTTAAGGAGAAATTACATTTAATATATAATTAATAATAATTACTATATTAAATTTATATTTTTAAATAATGTTCATAAATATCATTTATTTTTATAAAATATATATAATATAAAAATAATATTATGGTAATAAAATATTATTTTAAATAATTATATTTTATAATAATATTATTTTCATCCCATAAATTATAAATAGTAAAATATTGAATATTAAAAATATAAAATATTTTAAATTCTCAAAATTATTAATATTTTAGTAAATCAAACTCTATGTATATTATTATTATTTTTATAATTTTGAGTAAAGTACAAAAAATAAGAATTTAGAAGGATTATTATAAAAAGAATTCATTAGTCCAATGATATTCTTGTCCAAGAGACGAGAATGTAAGATTACCTAAGAATTAGGAGGTAATGACATTCTCACAATTTTAACAAAAAAATGCTACTATTGGGAAAAGAATATTTCCGATAATGTAAGATTCTGTGAACCAAATGTGAGAATACAATTCAGGAAAAAATCCTTTTTATAATGTAAGATTCTACGAACCAAACGCACGATGTAGTAATAAGTGAATGTAAAAGTAAAACCCCTTCCCACTAACCACCATGCACCATTCCTGTGTATATATTCAAAATTAACTTATTTTATTGGAAAAACATCCAAAAAGGTTGAAATTTCTTGGATCAAAACATGGAAATGGCCTGAAATCGAGTGGTTTTGAATCAAAACCATAACTTACCGGATTGAAAGCAATAATGCGGCGGAGGCCAGAAGGAGAGGAAAGAAGAGAAATGTGGTAAAATGGTTTAA